ACAAAGCAGTCTACTGTCCCCAAAACATGATCATGAATTTATTATGGGAATACATTTTAATAGGCAACAAGATTGGGTATGTTTGGAGAAGTCGTTTGCAAACCAGAAAATTGAAACTTGTCTTCTCTGTTGGTAGTCAGCTACTTTACTTTCTTTTATGCATAACACTTTGTGGAGAAATCTTTCAGTAGAAATCTGATTGTTCTCAATGCTGTGCTCAAGAATCCTTTTCATGGTTCAGATTAAAGTGCAAAAACCCTCATGCATTAGTCACATTAGTCACAGAATCACAATTGCTCTGTAAACACCTTTTATGATATTGGCCAACACAGCAGTATTTTTTCTCTGGTGGTCTCACTTGGGACGACCAGCCCGGCAAGTCTAAAACTAACGCTTTTCACCATGTGGCTTTATGTGACTCCCTATCTAAATAATTCTCAAGCTCTTCAAGATGTTAGAACCATAAATAATCTTTGATTTTGTTGTGGATAAAGATTTTGATCTAATTTAATTATTTCAAAGACCAGAGCTTTTAAATGACGTTGCCTGAGCTACCCTTATGGGGACATCAGATTTACAGTTTACCACAACCTTTTCCCATGTCTCATCCCTGTTTACTCCCTTCCCATAGTTTCTCCCCATGACTATTAGTATTTCTGAAAAGTAGCTCTTCAGGGGAAGTTGCAAGGAATGTTGATTACAAGACATTGTTAAAAAAGAGATATGTTGGGCCTCCCCTGGTGGTGCAGACGGTGGTTGAGCACTGTGCTGTGCTGTCAGCAGCCTTTATAGCACTGGTTTGATCCCTGCTGGCTGGCAAGGGTCCCACATGTCGCGTGGCAGACCTCTCCTGTCTTGCCTGCTGCTCCCCTCAGCAGTGTATTTAGTCATTCTGCCTGTTCAGTTCCCCGCTCTGTCTCTGGTGAATCCTCTCACCCTCCCGCGCATCTGGCCTGTACTCCGGTTCTTGTATAAGTAAATAAATAAATCTTTAAAAAAATAAAATAAAAGATAGGTTGAACTCTCAAAGAGAAGGAAAACAGTTTGCTCTTTCTGGTGCCTAAAGATTCTCATCCATTAAAAAAAAAGTGATCCATTTTCTTGTTTCCCTTTCATCTCTGTCTTTCACACAGAAAGGGTGGCATCATGATGAACTTGTTTTTAAGAAGAATTTTTATCAGAAAAGTGAAAAAAGTAAGGGAGTTTTTTAACTTATAAGAACTTATTAGAATTGTCTCTGTAAAGGCTTCAGCTAGATATAAAATTTTGGGATATTTTGAATTTTGATTCTCTTTAGCAGTTACACTGTTAAGAGTCAAAATGGACGAAGTCCATGGGATAGAATCATTTTTAGGTACAGAGCATCTAAAACTCTAGGATTTAAGAGGTATTTGCTTTTCCATAAATAGGGAATATGTATACTCCCTAGCAAGCCCCAGGAATGCAGACTACGGAATCCATAGTAAGCCTTTGCCATCAGTTCTTAACTGAGGGGACGAAGTTGGGGGAGGGTTGCAAAAAGGAATGAGCTGAGTGTCACAGTAGTGCCTCTCAAAGACTCAGCCTTATACTTTTAAGAGAACACATAGAGACCACCCCTTTTTTGAGAACTGATCCATTAACCTAAATTTCAAAACCCACAAATTAAATTCAAAGTATTTGTAACCTTAAAGTATATACAAATTTGGTGAGAATCTTCTTTTGCTCTATTTTCATAGTGAGCTAGATTCTTTCCTTATTTGGACAGGCATGTTACTTCCAGAGAATGAATCACTGAATTTCACGGGATTTCGGGCTGTCTAGCTGACTCAGTAACTGTGGTTTCAGTGGGCCTATCTTCAAACTGCATCAGATCTTGGAGCAGTGAAGCATAAAGCAGAAATACAGAGCACAGCATCTTTTCTTCAACTCAGATGAAAAGAAGGTGGTGAACAGAGAAATTTCAAGAGTTACAGAACACTTTAAAAATAATAAGAAATCTCATTTTTATCTTCATTTTTCAAACTAGCATTCTTCTCCAGAACACAAAGTGTTCTAATGACATCATAATACAGTCCAAATGCATTTCTTAGCAAAAAGATAGTAGATGAATAATTAGCAACAGAAATTTGCAATTTAATACAGCAGATTGAAAACCAGAATCTGTCTTATCTTTCTTAAAACAATAATGAAATGGTAGTAACTCTTATATGTAAATGTTATCCCAGCATATACATACACAGGATGAAAAAGGACCTAACAAGGGAAGAATAAGATGGAAATTCTGCAAGAGTAAACTCTCAGCTTATACAGCAAACAGCTTAGGTATATGACCTGGTACAGAGAAGCAGCTACCACATTTACTCTAGTAGTAGCTAGAGAGAGGGGAACACTAAATAGAGGATTAAACTACAGGATCCAACATGTGCCCCAAAGTCATTTTAGGAAAAGCAGAAGTAGAAATCACCTAGATATATGCAAGGAATGATGAGCTTACAGTTAATGCAAAAGATAAAAAAAAATTATAGCTGGCAATCTTCCAATGACACCCCTAAAAATATAAAGTTGACCAGTTAGGCTAGCTCCTACCTCCGTACTAAGCAAAAGACTCAGAATATAGAATTGGAGAAAAGGATGTAAGAATAAAAGACCAGACTCTGACCTCAGCTTTATAGATGACCAAACTGTTCTTTCTTTATCTATGCCAATTGAAGAACGAGAGAACAACATTAAACCTCAGGATAGAATGCCTGAAAGATCATTGTTAAAATTCAGTTCCTTTTTAAAAACTGAGTTTTGCATTTAGGTCATTTGCAGCCCAGTGTGAATAAGTTCCAGGTTCTTTTCAAGGCAGTAAATAGGACAGAACACAAATCGTGGTAAAAGTGGAAAAATGGGAAAGTAAACAACAGCCAAGTGAGTTAAGGGAGCAGCCCTGTGAGCCTCCCTGCTCACAGCTTTGCTGACATGTGTGGGGGGCCACAAGTTGACCCAAAGTAGCATGTCTTTTTACTTCCAATGAAAATTGAAGCAATTTGTTAAAAAAAAAATCTGTGGAGAGGAGGAAGGGTGGTAGCAGGTAAACTAGGATTTGTGTGACTTTCCTAAATGCTTAGTAACCATCTTGTTAAAACTCCCAGGTTGTATAGCTATCAGGTGGGGCTTATTTTAGATTTATGCAGAATCTAAGCTATCATTTAAGTCCTGAGTTACTGAAGAAAGGGATTATTAGAGCCAGCCCAGGGAGTTGGACTTAATAAAGCATTTCAGAGGGGATCAGTGGTTCGGGGGTGATCAGTGCCTAAATTCATAATTCCCGTATACACATTTGATCATTAATTTGGCACCATAACTCATCATCACCAGGCATGCTATGTTAGATGAGTCTCCCGACATCCTGCCCAAACCCAGCCGTAAATCATTCAAAATGTACTGCTGGAAATCATCTGCATATTGTGCAACAGAATTCATATATAAAGGCCACTAAATCTAGGATATCAAGGAGCTTGGATCATTGTATCCTATGTGTTCTCTTATTTTTATTATTGACATTTAAAACTCTACTGACATCAAAATTTTTACTTGTAAATGAATAAAACCTCATAACAGCTGTGTCTCTGTGGTTTTTAGCATGGTATATATGAGATGTGTTTAAAATATCTAGAGATCAATTCATTGTGAAGCGTTTCCTCCCAGCCAAAGTGTGGTAAATTATTTAAAAGCCCTGGCATCCAAAGCAGCTTGCACACTCTGCTTTCATTCATTTACAATGCTTTCAGAGATAAACCCAAATTTTAATTTTTACTGTCAAAAATCTTAATTATGGCAAAATGTAAACACTCTGGTGAAGCAAGCAAACCCTGCAAGAGTGAAATTAGAGTACTTAAAGTACGGGGAGAGAGGAATGAAGCTCATGGTGATTTCTTATTTGTTGATTATAAGGCTTTAAGGAAATGTGTTGGAATCAGTTTATGGCTGTATTTTAAACTTAATTGCTCTGATTCTTGACTTTTGTACTACAGTTATCATTGTTCCCTTTTCCATACAGATTTTCTTCCTTTGGATTGTATCACATATGTTTTGTATTACTAATTTGCTTTTATGAGAAATTCTTGCCTTTTAATTTTTGTATTAACTTTTTCTGTACATTTCCATTTACTCTTCATCCAGAGGGCTATATTAGCATGCCAAAAGCACTCAATAATGTTTGATCGATACCTACTTGTGGCACATTTATGGCTATTTCTGAGATAAGCAGAATCATAAATTGAAATCTTACCTACCATCTGTTCTGACTTCATGGTGGTATGAAACTAGATATAAACTAGAAAATACCCAAACATGAGGAAACTAAGCAAAATGCTTCTGAATAACTTCATCAACACAGAAATCAAAGGAGAAATAAATATTCTGGAAATCAACCAAAATTAAGAGACAAGCCACAGGATCCTATGGCATGCAACAAAAACAGTATGATGTTCGTGCCCTTATAAGCCCACATAAATAAGAACCTTCTCAAATAACCTAATCCAAAGCACTTTACATATTCAACACAATACCTATTAAAATTCTTTGAGAAAAATCTCTCAAAGAAATAATATAAACGATTCTAAAATTTGTAAAGGGCCACAAAATATTGAGTAGACCAAGAAATTTTGAGAGACAATAAGACTATTAGGATATCACGATGCCCCCTGATTTCAAAAAAAGCTGTAGTAATCAAAATAGTAGGCTCTGAAATAAAACAAAAACTGACCAATGGAATAGAATTGAGAGCCCAGAAATAAACCCACATATGCATGGAAAATTGATCTATGAGAAAGGAGTCGAGAGCATATCAGAGTAAGGAAAGCTCTTCAATAAAAGGTATTGGGTTACTTAACTCTACACAAAACTTCAAAATGGATGAAAGACTTGAATAGAAGACCTGAAGCCATAAAGTTCATATAAGCCTTTACATTTTTTGTACATTTAGTCTCATTTCCCCTCTCTTTCTGATCCACATTATATTTTCCTTTTAGATTGTTAAAGCGGGAAGAAAGTTTCACATTCATTCCTCGGTCCCGTGAAGAGCTTCCAGACAACTTTCCAAAAGAAATCCCTGGAATCTGCTATTTCCTGGAGGTAAGGACTGGTCCAAAGCAGCCCAAGCCTTCCCTTTCATCATCCAGAATAAAAAAGGTTTCCTACAACATCGGCACCATGTTCCTCCGGGAGACAAGCCTCTGAGACCTGCTGCAGATCAAAGACTTCTCCTAAAAGCACAAGCCCAGAGCCTGGGTCACGGCAGGAGAGTGCAAAGAGATTCTCTTTCACTGCTTTGTTGTGACAAGTGGTGGAATTTCTGTGTTCTGTCAGGCAATAATCCTAGCAAAAGGTGGGCGAGGATACCAATAGAACAGCGGAGGGCATGGGGAACTAAGGTGTGTCCATCCATGTGAGTGTTGCTGGTCATATATATATATTTTAATTACTGCTATGGGCCCCCTTTCAAAACTAACCACTAAATAGATTCTATGTTTTGATGTTTGTCACACATACAGTTACATTTCCCTGTATATATGTATCACTTTTGAGACAGTTTTGATTCTCTATTCCCACATTTAGTGAGTTGGTATGTGAGGAATATTTTCTAATTTTGTTTTTCTGAACAGACATTTCATACATATATCATGGCCGTGTGGTAAACTTCCCAGCAGGAAGAACTGTAACTCAGCAAAATATTTTAGGGATATTACCTATTTTTATACATATCTCTTCTAGATAATTACATTTCACACACCACTATTAGATTTTCGGAATCTGCTACTGTATAGTTGGTATATTATGTAACGCTAACCTATTAATCTAATATATGTGTGTCTGCTTAGTAAATATATCTTTTCGATTTTATTAATATAGCATGGAATACAGAGGGAATGGGATTTCCTAATAGCAGATATGCCTGTAACTAAGATTAAGGAAAGATCTTTGTGTCATCTTCTAACAAATATTAGTGCATATCAAATGAAATGCTCTGCTCCTTTGGACCCTTTTGAACTGAGCACTTATAGGTGTAGTTTTGGCCACATGCTAAACTGCATTCTAATAAACAGCATCTACCAAATGACAGGTTAGTAATATCTCCCCTTTCCATGCCCCCATGGCTGTCTCCTAAGGACTAACTAGCACTCGGGAGCAGACAATGCTGGCATTAGGCAGAAAGAGGTAAAGAACACTTTCCCAGGAAGGATGTTTATTCTTGTATAATTAAAAGGAAAAACCTTCATGCACACTGAAGTAGGTCTAACCTTCAGACCTAGTCATCACCATAGTTACAGATAGGCTTTCATCGCATGTTGTGCTAAAATGAAGACCTGCTCCTGACTAACACTGCATGAAAATATTATTACAGACTTACCCTGAAATTAGGAGCACAGTGCATCGAGAGTTTTCTGATTTTGGAACAAATATAAAACGAAGTTTCCATTGAGGCCATTGAATCGGAAGCATTTGTTGCCTTGAAATCGTGAGGTGGCCCTTTTCTGCTCCAATTTATAGTCAGTCTATTCATTGCTTGCTTATGTCTACTGAAGGCAATATGGTTCTTTTTCTGGTCAGAGATTTTTGCTGTGTTACGATGTGGTCATTTGCATAATTCTACTGGCCGATGTCGCCTGAGGCTTAATTTGTGTTTTCAAGTTCTCTAAGTGTGTGACTAGAAAACATTTACAGATCTGCAAAGTGTTTGTCATATGGTGATGACTCCCTCTGTCCTCTCCCTGAGGCAACGCTCTGCATATGGAGGAGAGAGGACGTGGACCCTGACAGCTCCAAATTCCTACCTGCCTCTCTCTTCCTGAGTCTACATCTCTGTTTTTTCACCACACACAGAATGAGAAGACCAGGGTGCTTAGGTGGGGGGCTTGCAGGCTGAGGACAGGGAATAATGACACACAAAGGAATCTTTTCGTGAAAGTGGGAGATTAACCCACTTCCTTCACAAGGGGACACAGGGGAGTCTTACAGTCAGTGTGGACAGAACAGGCCAGAAGCAACTCAATTCTCATGCCGAGAATAAGAAAGGCTTTTAATGTGCTGATGGCCTCTTTCAAGCAGGGTATGTGGGGAGAGAACGAAGTGCACTGAAATTGTTGTTACCTGACAGTACCTTGAGCTTAAATGATACAGTATATCAAATATTTTGGTGGTAAAAATGTGTTTTATAGCATAAGCTGAAAGGGACTTGAAGGACTCATCCAGTCTTTCTCTGCTTTTTGTAAAATTTTGTCTAAGCAATTGTAATCATATGGTTATTTGCTCTATACTTAAGAATATATATGGGAAGCATATTGTAAAAGTATCATTGAAAATCCACATCAGTATCTGGTAGTTGGTAATAGGACACAAAATAAGAATTGTATATACATTCAATTTGTCAGAAGAATCACAAACTCTCAGATTACATGATTTTACACAGAAAAGAAGTAACCACTTTTACATACAGGTATCATGATGAGGAACATGTCAGAGATCAGATAGGATGTGAGCTGCTTCTGTCCAACAACATAGGAGGCAGTCTCTCCTCTGTACCATTAGCCAACCCAGTATAGTTGATTATTACAGTTATTCTGTTGCTATATTTGTTTGCAAGGTACTGTATAAAATAGCTATTATTCTAGCTGCAGCATAGAATTTAGCAGCTATGGAAAAGCACTGTATTTTTATTTGTCCCAAATAGTCTCGCTATCTTCTACTGGAATTGTGACTCCAAGTGTGGGTGGTAGCTGGGATCTCATTTGATGAATATCTATATGGTATTTTTACTTCCAGTTATAGATATCATATATTCTATATTCTAATGGATGTCCCATTAGATACCAAATGGTATTAAAATTGGGAAAATGATTTTAACCCACTCTACAAGGGATACTCCAATTGGCACATATAGCTCCTCTGTCTTAATGTTCTTTTTTTTTTTTTTTTTTTTAAAGATTTATTTTTATTTATTTATACAAGCACTGGGTACAGTCAGAAGCGCGGGAGAGTGAGAGAATTCACCAGAGCCAGAGGGGGGGAGCAGAGCAGGCAGAATGACCAAAGTACACTGCTGAGGGGAGCAGCGGGCGGCAGGAGAGGTCTGCACGCCATGTGGGACCCTCCTCCGGTGGCCGGGGAGCAGCCGGGAACGAACCGGCACTTCAGAGGCTGCGGGCAGCTTCGCAACCCAGCGCTCAACCGCTGCGCCACCTGGGAGGCCCTGTCTTAATGTTCTTTTAAGCAGCTACTCTGAAGTTGCTTTTTTACTACCTGTCAGTACCAAAGCTGCCCATTGGCATCGACATCATTTTGATGGACACAATGTCACCATTTGCAAATACATCCATTCCCTCTCTAGACATACCCCAAAACACACTACTGTCATGTGCTCGTGAGACTGATGTGCTGTCTTCTGTGCTAATGAAGCCTCTTGTGAACCTTAATCACTACACCTCATGGTATAGCAGAAAGAACAACACTCAGTGCCTGGAGAACATAGTGCCTGGGGTCTGTCGACAGTGCAGTGTGGTGTGAAGGGAGAAGGAAGATAGGGTTTCTAAGTAACAGTACCCAACTCTGTTTAAACCCACCTCAAGCTCATCTCTTCTTTTAGGCTCTAACTTTTTTGGGCTTTCCTTTTGGTCCCTGGGTCTGTGGAGCCCAGTGAGCTGGGGCCGGTGGAGACTCTGACACTGGTCAGTGGCTCTGTAGTCCAGACTGCACAAGTGAGCTCTCACAGTCTACACTGTTCCTCCCATGAGTGACAGTGGCATTAGGAACAGCATGTTTGAGTGTGTGTCCACATGGGTGTCCCTCCAGAAAAAAAAAACAGGAAAGTAGGACAGCAGCATGAAATCTCACTCACAACTCTAGCAAGGCTTTTCATTTTGCAAATTCCTCCATTGAGTTCCAGCAATGAAGCAAAATTAAACTGTCAGAGACAAAAGGTAAAGCACAGGGAATTTGGAAAACCACCAGTCTCAGTATATTTTGCAGAATCCTGTTGTTATTAATTGAAAGAGTGTATTTGAGGTTGTCAGGTATAAGAAGGAACTTAAGATTATGACCTTCATTAAGATAAATTTGATGTTGTAGATCACAGGACAAGGAATAAAACTTCTCCATGTAGGGTTCTGCCTTGTCCTGCCTTTTGAGCTCTACTTCATTCATGCCCAGACCTGCTTTTCCTCCACACTCACTGGAAACCACCTCAGCCCCTCAAGCTTGGTACCACCAAACATCATCCCCTCTGTGCCTCTGAGGGGGTGGCCACAGAAAGAGTTGCTGATGCCTACTTCAGGCAGTTAGGAAGACCCACACCTTTCCAGGCCCTGGTAACAAGTGCACTTCTGCAGTGGACTAACCATTCTCTATTGTGCAGGGGGCATTGCTGACACAGACAGTTTCTCCCACCACCTTTTCTTCAAAATACACTCTGACTCTAGACACTAGGTGCAACCTCATTGAACTTTCCTTCTAAACCAATTATGTGTGATGGAACCGGCTTTGGGGTAGCACCAGATGCCTTTCAGTCAATGATATCTAGAAACATCAGTCCAGAGACCCAGCATTAGATCAGAGTCTGGGTATTCCTATTATTAGATTATGTCTGAACTACAAAAAATTGTCATTTCAGAGACTTCTGTGGCATATCTTATAAGAAAAAGCCTGAAAAACATGATGCATGAGACTGAATTATTAAAATTTAATATATTCCAGTCCAAATGATGATTCTATATGGGTAGCTCTTGATTTGAATATACTTAACTCACAACCGGCTGATTTAACACACACATAAATTGTGTTAACATGACTGAACATTTTATGGTTAAGTGAATAAATTGACCCCAGCTGTGGACTCAACTTCAGGATCCTTGTGGTGAATAAAGAATAGAGATTATATAAAGATTAACATAAACCCTGACAGAGTATACTAAGATAGTGTGCAAAATTCCTTCCTCACACTTGATTCAAATAATTGAAATCTAAGTAGTAGTACTGTCCTCTACCTTTCTGTTACCTTTCTTCTTCTTCCTTTCATTAGGGGGGGAAAAGCCATCTGTACATTTATTATACTGGGAGAATCACAACCATTTGCAATCTTATGTTGTAAAATAGTTTAATTTTACAGTGTCTTGAATGTTCTTAGTTGGTATGCGTATGTTTGTTGAACGTAGATGTTCCAGTGGCATTTTGGAAGGACTTGGGATGTAGCAAAATGATGTAGCAAAATGATGTTTGTATCTTTATTTCTAATATGTCATGACTAGACCACAATTTTAGTCAAGTGCCTAGTGGCTATATGGTCTTTACTGAGCTGTGACCCTGCTCATCAACTCATCAGCTTGGCTTTGTAAGAATTACCTAGGCAACTTTTAGGCATACAAATTACTGGGCTTTGCATGCCTGGATTTGGATTCAGTAGGTCTCAGGAGAAGCCCAGAGATCTGTATTTAGAAAATCACTCTAGGTACTAACATCCACTCAGATTTGAGAAACATTGGAGTATATTCAAATAATCCCAATTACTAGGAATAAATACAAGTTAAGATAACCATACCTTACTTCACTTGTGGTTATTTTGAAAAGTTAAATGTTTCTGGCTTTGTGCCCTTATTTCTTTCACAACTTATTTGTGCTTTGGTTTCAAATGTGTGGTCTGTTTTCTGAACATGTGGCTTTAAATTTATTAGAAACAGAAGTCAACACTGATAAGCATGAGGGATGAATATTGCTCACTATAGGGCTATTAGGCATACTAGACATGATACCGTTTCCTTGGTTACTGCCAGAGCAGTACGTCACAGAATTTACTGATCCTCACCACTGAGATATAAACTAGGGACAGAGAAGCAAATGTCAAAATGACAGTCTTATTTCTGAATGCTTTGGTTTTTATGTTATGAAAAATCGCCAACTTAATACTTAGTCTCACTGTACTTTTCACATTGAATTGTACAGTCATCTGAAAGTGATTTCCAGCAATACCTTATATCAACCTTTCAAGCAATAATTTAAGCCATGGTGATAATGTCATATGAAACTTGTACTTTGGGGCACTTCATAGAATCTTTAGGGAAATAGACACTTGTTTTTTATAAGCAATAATAATAGCTGGTGTGGAATTTTCAAAGATATTCATCATTCTACTATAGCAAAGCAAGCAGCAAGTGATCCAGATTAAAAAAATCTGACCAAATGACGTGCTTACTCTATCTCAAAAGTCATTCATTTGCAAGCATGCTATAAAGTAATTAATATGTTCCATCAGATTATTTCTGTTGCTTAATTTTAAATACCTGTCATGATTTCTGTTTCTCTCAAGAGAATTGTGGGTATCTGTAATACCGCCCAGATTTTCAGGTGTTTATAGTGTATAATAGAAAGGGGTAGTTAATGATGGGTACATGACTAGACGTAGGACACAGTTTGGATAAATTGATTGAAAGTAGGCTTTGCCAAAATATGGCAGGGTCTTAAGACAAGCTAGTTAATTCAGATGTTGTTTGATAAGATTAAATATTAAAAAAAGCTCATTATCACTGTTTTCTGTGATGGCAAATGTTTAGTAACTATATAGTTCTTTTAGCTACAGCATATGACTGGCTGAAAGTTATCTGTAGCGTAATCAATGCTGAAAACAATTAGTCATATTGAAAATAACCTGCCCTTCTCGGTTATTTTGTCCAATTTACAGATTCCAAAATGAGAAATATTTTTCTCTTACTTCATAAAATACAATTTTGATCATATGTGGCATAGTCATTAATAGTCCTCTCGTATATGCCGTCACTTATAATAATGTATTAGGATAGCTAAAAGCATCTGAGCATCTTCTAAGCATTAGATGATTACTTAGCAAAGTCATATATGCTTAAGATCCATTCCTTAGCCTCTAAATAAGATTATAGCTCCTATTATTGACAGTTGGGTAAATTCCTTTCTCATTATGAGTCTGAACACAATTGGAATGATGGTTGGGCTTGCTGGTATTTTACCTTCTTGTCACCCATAGCAAAGTTTAATTTAGCATCCTTTTGCTCGCAATTTAGATTTCCCTATGAAATCAAGCAGGAGTATTGAATCACTGAGAAAGTTTTTGATAATTACCTTTTTGTATATAATTAAATGCTAAAAACCCTTAATAAGCATGCTTTTGATTAATAATGGAAAACATTTAATTTTATCCATTAAATTCATTCACATAGCTAAACTCATCTAGTTGCTGATCAGAGAATTCATAACATTAGGCTTTATTGCTCTTGCTCATTATTTGAAAGCAGAAGAGACAAGGGAAACTTACTGGCAAGCCCAAGTAATGTCTCACTTCTGATTCTTTTGATATATAATTTAAAAATAAAGGAATCAGTTTATATATAGCCTTCCTCTCTGGCCTTTTTACCATTGATCCTGTGGGAGAGATAAAGAAGAATTTATACCAAACACATTTTTACTATGGTCTATTAAATGTCATTTAATATAAGTAGGACAGTAATGTAGTTAATTGGGGTAAATCAGAAATGTGCAAAATTTCTTCTTTGAACACCTCACTTTTTAAGGGTAATTCCTTCTGTTTTTCTGCCTAGCAAGGTGTGTGAGAGACTCAGGATACAGGGGTAGGTGGAGGGAGTGGCACAGGCTAGAGCTTTCAATGAGGTTAAGCAGAGAAGTTAATTTTTTTTTTCCTTCCTGAGGCACACTCTTAAGGGAGAGGCAGTTTCCTAACAGACAACCCTGGTTTGATGAAAACCAAATAACTTCTATGACTCAGGTCACTTTTGTTCTAAAAAGAGATGAAAAAGCCCTTCAGAATTCATTTTCAGATTCCTCAGAAGGTGGTGTCAACCTCTCTGCAGTTGCCCATATTGGTGAAACTGGTGTGAGGAACTCACAGAGCTGTAGAGAGGAACTCTCTGAAGATGGCAGACAGAGCTAGTCTTTGTTACAATGATGAAGGTAAATGAAAGTGTCAGAACATCTGGACTGAAGTAAAACGGACAAATACCAACTCTGCCATATGTCACAGGAAAGCGTGCTAAAATTGGCACAAAAAAACAGACTATCAAGCAATATTGAAACAAAACACTTACTCCCTTTCATAACATGCCAGTGAGAAGAATGCAATTTGATTTTATACATTTTTGTTGTTGTTAGGACATTACAGAAATGACATCTTTCCATAGTTGGGAAATTTAATTTCAGAGAATGGGAAACAGTTGTTCTGTGTCCTAAAATCTGTAGAATCTTTTGGTGGGGAAATACTATTTTCCATAGTCTTCATACTATTCTCAAATCAGGCCTTTGCTTGCTAGCAAAAGAAATGCTCAACTTTAGAAAATAGCCTTCATGACCTCAGGTCCACCCATTTCATCTGGGGGTGCTCCAGAACTTGGAGCATCACCCCAGAGAATTTGGGGATGTTCTGTGGGAGAAATGAAAATTCATGCTGTTTCCTAAAATTAAAAGTGATTAGGTCACTTCTTAAGACTGATAGATGTTTCACTTCCATGTAGCTACTTAATTCAAGTTTGCTTAAATCAGAGTTTGTTTAGAATGAAAATTTTAAAAAGAGGGACCTAACTAACAATTTCAATCAGAATTATCAGGTAAAAAAAAATATTTAGGACAAAGATCTGCTGTCTTGAGAGAGTAAACTAACATTAAAAAGTCAGAATGCTACAGACTCTCTCAAGTTTCCTAAATGTATCTGAGAAAGAAAAATACCATAGTTGCTGGATTTCTTAAGATTTTAGTCCCTAGAAATAACACATGAGTATGAATTACATTTAATTTTTTTCCTTCATGTTTTCCATTTGTTACAGGAAAAAAATGATGTTGTAAGTCAGTCAAATTTGACATTGAGACACATGAACGTTTGCAAATTTGGCAACATTCTTTTACTTAAAATCATAAGCTGGTTTTAGTAATGCCAAGGTTAATGCCAAGGTTAAGGATAGCAGTCAGTACTATATTCAGACTGTTCACAGTGGATTACAAAGCAAACCATCTCAACTTCCAAGAATAAAATCTAAGTCAAAGCCGATGTATGATCCAAATCATTTGAGGAAAAAATATATGTATTTCCATCACCCGTGACTAACAAGAAACTACTCATTTCCATTCCTAATGAAACCTTAATTCCTACAGCAGTTCTACTTATTTTGCCTCCCCATGCATGATCTGGGATCAATATATTTGTGTATAGCCACGTAAACCATTTTTTTTTCTTGTTTGAATTTTTGTAGCATTTTAATTTCAAATCCATAGTTAAAGTGAAAGAAAATACTGCAGTGGTCAGATAATTAATCAACAACAACATTTTGATTAACATAATTAATCAAAATCTGCCTCCAGATTTTATCGGTACAAATTACCATGTTGATATCAAAGCCTAACCCTGGCATAGAGTCTCAGATAAATGGCTTTCATACTATTTGATTAGAAACATTATTAGACTCTTATAGATCTCATGCCAGCTGAGGTTTAGATAAAAAGAAGAGTGTATAATTGAAGTAATTCAGGAAGATTTTTAAAAATTTGTGAATTTTTGTTCTTGGTGTGCAAAGATCAGTATTAGTGGGTGGCAGCCAAAATTACTATTCTTGTTTTCATTTGTTTCAAGTGTGTCACTGGGCACTTCTAAAATCTATCCTTTTTATTTATGTAACAATCTGACCTGGAATAGCCGGCACTCACTGTTTTTGCTTTTGATCCTTAAAAACAATTTTCTTCCTATCTAAAAGAATAGCTCCTACTTATGCAAATGAATATTTGATTATACAGGTGTCCCATTTTACAAGCAGACATGAAATGTTTTAGTTGGATTCAGCTGGACTTGCAAGCAGAGAAAGATAGGACACCACTAGGGAAGATGAAAAATGACAAAAATAAAACTTTGCCTACATTTAAAAACATCTGTAACACAACCCTGTTAACTTAGAGCACAAATGAAAATAAATGGTAAGCCTGATTATAGATTTTTAGACACAGTATTCATATTTAATGGAATGTTATAAAATTCAGCATGTCAAAACTTTGATAAAACAATTAATGACTTTAAAACTATTCTAAAAAGTATCTTGTATTATATATGTCCACCAAAGCAGAAATTATTCTCTCTTGGGAAATTTTGGTACTATGTCTTTTATCAAGATTTGTAGGTGTGATCTAATTAAACATCAATATATTCTTTTTTTTTAATATTTTATTTTATATATATTCTTTAGGCTAATAAAAAACCATGCAAGAATCCAAACATCAATGTTTGCTATTATTTCTGAAGAAGACTCTTGTTGAATGTAAAATGAATGAGCTAGCTATAGGTTTAAGGGATTATCTGTGAAAACTAGGTCCTTAAAATTTCTAAATCCTCTTTTTGTTCCATTCCTTCTGTCTGTCTCTTCTTCCAAATTTCATGAGGGCTAGGAAATAGTTTACTAGTCTTCCTGGTGCCTCCCTTCTTAACTTTCACATGTTAGAACACTATGGATATATGAGGAAAGGAAAACAAGGGAAGAATTTAGATGTAGATTATTTGAGGAGAGGAGGAACTGAGAGAATTTAGACTTTGGCTTCTAGAGGCTTTATAAGTGAAGACAAATGTGGGTGTATACATGTTTTTCTCCACTGAATTTAAACACTTTCTCAAGAAGTATCAGGGTTAACCTATTTGGACAACCTTATATTTTTGCCCTTACAAACATCTTAATTTAGAAAAATCCTTGTATTTTTCAAATAGTCAATAATTACTTCAGTACCACACTGCTGAAGATTAAAGTAGAAGTTTCTTTTATTTGTAGGGAAATAATTTATAAAAACCATTTCCCAATTAAGCAAATATACCAAATGCTGGCTCTTTACTGATACAGAAGGCTGTGTTCCTAGGGGCCATCTTTGAAAACATTTGCCATCAATTCTTTAAGTCTACTGTACTAAAAAAGCAATATACAATGAATTATATATTTCTTAGCTCTAAGTCTTTGAGATTTTAGCATCTTTAGAATAGCTGTTTATACTTATGTCAAATATTTATTAAAAAGAGTAAAATTAGGAAGATAGAAGGGTATGTTCTTCCATTTAGGCTTTTAAGCACTCTATTCTCCCAAACTGAAAATTTCCTTCTTTTCATGTTTTTTTATGTTTTCATTTGAGTAACATAGGCACACTACTTAAGCTGTCTTCATGACATGTTTGTCATGACATGTTCACTAATATTGTGTAGAAATAATATAACTTTGTCCTCTCTGGAGAGAAATGCTTCAGTAAGTCAACTAGCCTTGAATTTTGAGTCATATTATTTGAACTTCTTTGTTAAGACACCTCAGCAGCCTCTCATAACAGACCAAGTTGTTAAAGGAACGGATATGAAACATTTATTAAAATTAAAAATTTCAAAAGGGAGGAATGTTTGGGCCAATTTACTTATAATTTCATGGGTCTGAATTTTTGATTTGGCTTGCAATGTAAATAATATTTCTCTGTTAATGACTTTTCTTTATTCCACACTGACTAATTTGCTTTGATATTTTAAGAGACAGGCAGGTGCCATATGAATTGACACCTATAAAAATATACATTTCTTTCTGTGATTTTTCATTGTTAAGAAAGCCTTTGTCTTGAAATTATGGGCAGCCTTAGTACTCTATCAAATGAAGAAATATGACCTTCAACACCTTTACTATTTTATTTCTCGAGGGAAACATAAAAACAGAAGAAATGTGGTTGAGAAAAACAGAAGTCAGGATCAAATTTGAACAACTGTGATCCACAAATCCCAATTTCTTCTTCTATTTAGTTGCCTTCTGCTAAATCCATAGTTCATATTGGCAAAGTTTATAACCATTTCCTTTTAAAAAAATTGGAGTTAAGCAAGCATTATTCCAAATGTGTGGAAATGTTTTTTCTTTCACATGGTCATGGCAGGTGATGACTACAGGGATGTGAGGTTGGGTTCAGGTAGGAAAAAATGACCCATGAAGAGAAATACTTTCTGATTTTTCCTGGAGTTGGATGAACAACTTTTTCTTTAAAACAAAAGTCTTTCTGGGAGTTTTGCCTTGGAAAAACTCTTAACATTCTGTAACAACTGCCTGTGACAACATTATATAACTTTAGGAATCAAGCGACAAAACTGTCTCATTATGCTTTTAAAATATACCAATTAAGTGCATTCCAGAAATACATATCATTCCTCATTTCAAAATCAACCTACCTGAATTCTGACTCTTCAACTGTGAGTAGCCATTTTACAAAACCAAAGGGTCTCATTTCCCAAACATTAATTTAGATTTTAAAAACTTGCCTGCTCCTTACAACTCCTAAGATAATCAGTGCACTTCCATCAAATACTCTGGCACTAGATAATAAAAAAAAAAATAGGCTCCCAACTCACTTAATAAAAACACAGTTAAAATGTGCTAGCCTTCATTCACTTCCTCTGCATGAGGTAGGTTTTTCTTAAACAGATACCTGAATTATTTTCATGTTTGGGCCAATTCATTTGTTGCAATTTCAAGGGTCTAAATTTTCGGTTTGGCTTGCAGTGTAAATAATATTGTATACCTGCTAATTTGCTATTATCCTTTGTGAATCATTTCTTTGGAAAATACAGTTATCACAGTTAAATTACAGTGTCAACAAATAATACCAGGTAAATATACTAGTATATCTGTAGGGCATGGTTAAATTGCATATATTTTGAAATGTCAAGCTATTTTTTCCTGATTTTTTAAAGATGAATGCATCTCTTAAACCTGTACCATTAATTTAAAAAAAGTTTCATTTGGTGTTTCAGATTATATTATATTTTAAAATATTTTCCTTTATCTAGTAGTACAGGTTTAGAGAATCTTTTTTCTGACTGAAATAAAATATGCCTCATTTCACTAGAATTTTAAGAGTACTAGAACATGTAAATGTATGTAAGCACTTCTAGGATTATAAACATACATTGTATCTTTGCTTTTTAATGCAACACCACTTTTTACTCATTTGATTATGTTTATTTGTAACTATTCTAAGTCACACACAATGTAAATAGCATGTTTCATTAAGCAAATGTCTTTGTATTTACAGACTGCAGAACAAGAAAAATTTGTATATGAAAAAATGAGTGATGAAAACCTGGAATTCTTATAAAACAAAGTGGAAATGACAGTTACATGTTTGATTTACATAATTCATTACAAAACTATCTGTTTAAGTCATGCATTTATTTATCTTATAAGTCCAAACTGTCACTTATAAAATATTTAAACCAATAAATAACACCAAAAATAAGTATAGAGTCTTTTTAGCCTATTTTTTCAAACTGTGAATGACAATAACTGAGAATATGAATGCGTAATAACTCAAAGAATGGGGAACAAATAAATCAATGAATGGAGTATTTTCAATGCATTATTACTATGTCTAAAGATGAGTCTACAGTAATAGGCATACCCAATTTTAAATTAATTTTGTAATATGCAATCTACCCTTATAAAATCAAACAGCACAGGTCACAGTGTGTGTTGTTTCATTTACTCTGAATAAACAGATATCCCTTGTATTACAGTGTGGTTATATCTCAATAAAGCCATCCTAAATTGAAAATATTTTAAGCTGAAAATGCTCTTATTATACATAACCGACTAACATCATATATTATCCAAGCTTAACCATGTTTAGAACATTTACATTAACTTACAGATGGGTAAAATCACCTTACACAAAGCCTGTTTTACAATAAAGTATGAAATAGCTCATATAATTTACTGTACACTGTTCTGAAAATGAAAACAATGGTTGCATGCATCCCACCATTAACACACACCTCTCAAACACACAGGGCCTGAAGAATATTTGAACACTGACTACAGTTAATTGTCAGACGATGGGGATGCCACAGCTACAGGCTCATCGATTGCACTGTGGAGCACTGGTTGTTTATTTTCACAATTGCTTGGCTGATGGGGAGATATGGCTTGCTGGCCAGCCCAGCATCACAAGAAGAAATGCAAATGGCCAACAGGCATATGAAAAAATGTTCAACATCCCTTATAATCAGGGAAATGCAAATCAATACCACACTGAGGTACCACCTTACACCAGTAAGAATGGCACATATCAAAAAAAACAGCAACAACAAATGTTGGCGAGGTTGTGGTGAAAAAGGAACTCTCCTACATTGCTGGTGGGAGTGCAAACTGGTCCAACCACTTTGAAAAGCAGTCTGGAGGTTCCTCAGTCTACTAAAAATGGAGTTACCATATGACCCAGCAATTCTACTCCTAGGGATCTACCGAGAGGACACAAAAACATTGATTCAAAAGAACACCTGCACCCCTATATTTATTACAACACAATTTACAATAGGTAAAACCTAGAAACAATCCAAATGCTCAAAAACAGATGACTGGATCAAGAAGATGTGGTATATACACATAATGGAATATTACTCTGCGATCAAAAAAGATAAACTCATGCCATTTGCAGCAATGGAGATGGAGCTAGAAGGAATTATGCTCGGTGAAATAAGTCAGAAGGAATAAGAAAAAATATCGGATGGTTTCACTTATAGGAGGAATATAGGAGAACCAAATAAGACATCAGTGTAAAAAAAATAATAATATACAACACAACAAAACAAAAACAGACAAGTATAAATCAGAGACATCCTGCAGGGGAGGAGGAGGGAGAGGGATCAGAGGGAGGGAGGGAAGAGCATAGGGGATTGTGATGATGGTTTATGGGTGAATTGGTGAAGAGGAAATTCTATGGGGACTACAAGTGGGGTGAGGGGGGGAAGCAAGTATTGTTTAAAAATGAACAATGATGTAAAAAATAAATAAAAAAGGAAAAACTAAAAAAAAAAAGAGTATCACCCTATATCTTATTAGTCCAGGAAAAGCTGAAAACTGGAAGTATGTTTTCTTCCAAATGCATATTTGACACCATTGTAAAGTCAAAAATTCATAAATCAAACCAATATAAGCCTATAGATCACACAGGAAATGGGTTATTTTGCTGCCATTATTTATTGCAAATTGAAATCCCACTGAATACCTGTCAGTACTCCATCCAATAGTAGCACATCCTTATAAGGAGAAGACTGTTTTAATCCAATGTTCCCAGACTGCAACAGTGAATATATGCAAAATTAAATCATCTTTGTTATTTTTATGGCCCTGTCTCCCAAGCTGCTTGGTCGCAACCATACAAATCTATTTCTAGCTCTTTTTAGCAGTTCCCAAGGGAGTCTCCCCTCTGTGTTCATGAACAGAGCTGCTCTTATCTTTTTTTTTAATTTATATATTTTTTACATAATTGTTCAATTTTAAACAGTTTGCTTTCTCCCCCAACTCAGGTGTAGTCCCATAAATCTCCCACCACCAATTCACCCATGCACCATCATCACAGTCCCCTGTGCTCCTCCCTCCATCCCTCTGATCTCATCTTTTGTCTTTATCTTCTTATTGCTATCAGCTACCCTGCAGTCAACCCACTCCTGAGAACTATTTCCTAGGTATAAGAGAAGTGTGACAGTGTGAAGGTAAAAAAAGTAGAGACCGTATGTATACAAACACATACACAGAGGCAAGATAATTACAGTGAAAACTCTCCTTAGAAAATAGAAGAGAGAAAATACATTGCAGTTCACTGAAGTCATTTATTTAGCATTGCGAGCAGCTATATAAAGTCTCTGTTCTGGTTTATCTGAAGAAAGCACTGGGAAATACACCCTACTTGGGAGCTTTACAGCCCTCACTGCCCACCCCTGCTATATCTCTTTGTACATGGAAGCATGAAATTAAACTCAAAGATTTCTTCAGGGCTGGGTTATATTCATCTTTGCTATTGGACAAAATAATCCCAAACTTTAGAAGGCTTGAGGAGTCTGGCAAGATGGCAGAAGAGTAAAGAATCTGAGCTCAATTGAAGAGGGGGCGGAGCAACATGGCGGCGAGGAGACGCTGCTAGTAAGATCTCCCATTAAAAAAAGTGAATAGGGAGGAAAAGCGGCAGGTTCCAGTGAGAACTGGGACACGAAAGATAAACGGGTGACGCCAGCGAACTGCCCGAAGAAGAAAGTGGCCATAAAAGAGGACTAGAAGGGAGGGAAGCGCAGAACCCTGCTCCCCTCCCCCGCCCACAGAGGCGGCACTCTCCGACCGGCAGAGAGGAGGAAACAACAAACCAAAACGGCCCACAAGAACAAACGACGCAGCAAGCGGGACTGTGAGTGGAAAGGAACTATTGCAGCCACCACACCCCGTGAACGGGAGCTGAGGCGAACCCTGCAGGATCCGCCTCGGCGGTGAGCGAACGGCTCCAGGCGCCATTAGAGAAGAACAAAGACCCCGGGAGACGCGCACACAGCCCGGGCTGCCGGTAAGCTGGCGCGGAAACGCGGCGCGCTCGGGGAGCTTGAAAAGCAAGTGCAGACCGGGATCGCGGCTGCCCAGGTACCGACGCCTGCGACCTAGGCTTGCGGGGAGACGACCTAGGCTTGCGGGGAGACGCGCTGAGGTCCTCACTGAGGTGAAGGTCCCTCCCTGAGTGAGCAGGAACCAGGCGCCCAGGCACGGGAGCGGTGCAAAAGGCGCCATTCCGGCGCCACTGAACTGGGCTACAGCCCGCGTCCTGGAACTGAGGGCTTTGAACTGAGACCCGGGGCACGAAAATTCGGGGCGTGGTTTCTCCACGACGGTGGGGCACAAGGCAGACACAGCACCCCAAAGCTGTTGAGGTGTACCCTACCATTCCCGCTCTGTTCTCTGTCCCACGGGGTGGGGGGAGGCGAAAAACAGCCCCCCAAGGACAATAGGAGAGATCTCTGGCGCCACCTAGCGACCAGGAAAAAAAAAAGTCACTAACACCCTATAAAAGAGGACATTTCTTAAGACTGCTTGAAAAGGGCAGAAGGTTTCTGGAGGACCCAGTGGCCAGCCGGGAAGTTATTCCACGCCAGGCCCCTTCCGACCAGCAGTCTGAGCCCACAGAGGGAGCAGGCACCCACGTCTGGGGCAGACTGGGTGTGCAGAAGAGTGTGCCTGAAACCGGAGGCGCAGGGACTGCATCCCGCTTCGCCATTTGAGAACAGGGACATTTCTTCAGTAAAAACTGCCTAAAACCAGCAGAAAGCTCCCCCAGAAGACAGAGATGGCTCCTGGAAGAGCCAGAGGGGAGCGGAGAAGTTCACCCAAGATGTCAGTCAGTCCGAGCAACACAGTGTCCCAACGCATACGACAAATTAGAAAACAGACAGTAGGGAGTAGAAGAACCACACGCAACCTAAAAACTCCTCAGGAAAGAAGCACACCACAAAAAGAAAACCACTCCCCAGATTGCAACGACAGCAACTTGGAAGAACTTCTGAGCCTTCCAGAAAGAGAATTTAAAATTGCCATGATTAAAAAAGTGATAGATCAGAAGAAGGAAATTGAGTCCCTAAAGAGGGAAGTAAGAGAAATGCAGGAGATCGAAGAATTAATGGAGGAACTAAAGAACTCTGGGAAAAGCAATGAAAGCAGAATAGATGAAATGGAAGAACGAATAAGTAATCTTGAAGACACAGAAATAAAAAGAACCAAAACAGAAAAGGAAAGAGAAGTACGAAGGAAAAAGAATGAAGAAAGACTTCGGGAACTATCTGACTCCATGAGGAAAGGAAATATAAGAGTTATAGGAATTCCAGAAGGAGAGGAGAGAGATGTAGGAACAGAGAAAATATTCATGGATATAATTGAAGAGAACTTCCCAAATGAGAAGAAGGAGCTGAAAATTGATATACAAGAAGCAAGAAGAACACCAAACTTCCACGACGAAAGGAAAAACACAGCAAGACACATAATAGTAAAGCTCCCAAGAATCCAGGACAAGGAAAAAATAATGAAGCTGACAAGAGGGAAGAAACAGATAACATTCAAAGGAAAACCAATCAGGCTGACATCAGACTTCTCTGAAGAAACACTACGGGCAAGGAGAGAGTGGAGGGACATAGTCAACAGACTCCAAGAAAACAGATGCCAACCAAGAATACTCTATCCCACAAAGCTCTCTTTCCTCCATGAAGAAAGAATATGGACCTTCCCAGACAAAGAGAAACTCCGGAATTTCATTGCGACTAAACCCCCACTCCAAAAAATACTACAAGGAATCCTAAAGCCAGAACCTCAGAGGGACGAATAACAACGAAAGAAGACCAAAAAAAAAAAAGTTATTAAAAGAATAAATAAATAAAATCAAAGGAAAGACAAACATAATGGCAAATACAGATGCTAACATATCAATATTAACTCTAAATGTAAATGGACTAAACTCTTCAATAAAAAGACACAGAGTTGCAGCCTGGATTAAGAAACAAAACCCAACCTTATGCTGTCTCCAGGAAACACATTTAGCTACAAAAGATAAAAATAGGCTCAAAGTCAAAGGATGGAAAACAATCCTACAAGCAAATGGGCCAAAAAAGAAAGCAGGAACAGCTATACTTATATCAGATAAAACAGACTTCAAACTCAAAAAAATAAAAAGAGACCCCAATGGTCACTACATTATGATTAAGGGGACAATACTTCAAGAAGAAATAACACTCATTAACATATACTCACCAAA